TCAGATGAATTATTGCAATTAAGAATCTTTATCCTAGTGTGTGGCAGTTCCAATAATTTTAAAAAACCCAAAAACCTAATCAGAAGGTGTTACAGTCTTGGTGTCTGTTTTAGAATAGTAATTAATTCCTTAGGTATGAGGTTATCTAAAAAAGCAGAGCATGAAAAAGGCCATTTGGCTTTTGTCTAAGAAGCTGTAGGTTGTAGCAATGCTTTAAATTTGCCTCCAGACAACTGGCTTTGAAACACTAGAGATGGCAGACAAAGTGTGATTGGGTTTTTTCTTTTCTTTTTTTTTTCTTTTTTTTTTACTGTCTCATTGTGGTACTGAAATCACCTTTGTTTTGCTCTGGTGTTTGTTTGAAATACTAGTTAAAAGGTAGCAAAAAATTTGACCTTTCCTTTTTTTTTTTCATAGTTTAACCTCAGACTTGCCTGGATTTCCAGCCTTTCTTTTTTTGTAGAAGGGCAAGAATAGTAAGGTGTTTATATGAAGACAGAGTATCTTGAAACAGTTGAAGTTTTTGACTGGAACATCTTGGAGAAGAGTAAAATATGGTCCTATCACTTCAGAGATGAGGGGGTTTTTAACAGTTGGAATTTAAATATTTTGTCCATTCGGGCTTGCTTAGTAAAGTACTTTTATTTCAAATTCCAGATGACATTTCCCAGGTGCCAGTTTCTTTACAGTATATCAAACCAGTTGCTGACAGGGCCAATCCCAAAATGGGAATTGGGATGTTGGCATTCAGTCCAGATAACTGTTTCCTGGCAACCAAAAATGGTAAGTTCCTACTGCCCTATATAGAAGGGGAAACTTACTCATTGTATCTGGTGTGTTTTCATAAAAGAAATGAGGACAGTAATTGGGTCAGTTATCTGGCACTATGAGGAGACTCGTGGCCCTACTTAAAATCTGGTCTCTGTTGTGCAAACATGTAACTACAGAGGAAATTCAGCCTATGTCTTCTAGCGTATGTGAAGTATTGTGAGCTGCCAGAACTGCTTGTCAGTGCATTAACTCGGTCTTGGCTTTGTATTTAATGAAAATAGTATGCTTTTTGTATTTCTTCAAATATATGTGAGCTGACTGTATTGGAAAAGGAAATAGACAAGTCCTTCCACCTCCATTTACAGCAAGTGTCTCTTGAAAGGCAGAATTCTTCACAACCTGTATTAGGGGGCTTCCGATTACCTCAAATAATGAAAGTCATGGAATTGACATTTAATCTTTCCCTTCGATGGTCCTGAAGGGCTGTTTATGTCTGGATGCAAAATCTGTGGTTCAGATGCAAAAGCTGTCAACAGCAGCGTAACGGTGAATAATTTGATAAAAGCCAGTGAAAGACTGGAAAACAAACTAAGTCGCTTTTATCCTTTTTGCAATATTTCCAAGGCAAAATTGAAGGCACTGCTAGGCAGCGCTCTAGTGGTGTTAAACCTGTGGTGTACCTAAATGGTTTGTGTTGCATTAGACCTTAATGCCATTTCTTTAAAAAAGAAAAAGTGTGATCTTTTTATCCTTCAGGTATTTACATGATTACCTCTTCCCTTTCTGACAGATAACATTCCTAATGCTGTCTGGATTTGGGACATTCAAAAGCTGAAACTGTTTGTAGTCTTAGAGCAGCTGTGTGCAATCCAATCTTTCCAGTGGGATCCACGACAACCTCGACTTGCTGTATGTACAGGAAACAGCAAAGTCTACTTATGGTCCCCAGCTGGCTGTGTGTCAGTGCAGGTTCCAATGGAAGGTAAGGCTGCCTGTGGTAACTTCCACAGGCCATCATCAGCTTCTTATTTGCAAAATAGTTTTCCACTTACAAATGGGTCCAGGTGTTATCATGTGTCAATGGCTCAGATGTGGGTTTGGAGCTTTTTAGAAATGGGTATTTCTCTCTTCAAAAAAGAGGAGCTCGTAAGGAGACATAGCAAACTTGATAAAATACATTGAGGACCGAGCACAGGGGCTAATGATTTAGTTGTTGCTTCAACTGTGTGGTGTGTCAAATTCTTTCTCAAGATTTTTATTCGTATGAGTTTATTTACGTAGAAACTGTAGTTGTGCAGAATGCCAAAGTGTCGAAATACTCTGAAATGCCTATAGTGTTTTGGGGTATTCTGAAAACAACTACACTACAACAAAACACCAATGGGGAAAAACTTGCATGGTAAATTCGATGTGGAGAGATAGAAGAACATATGTGAACCTGAACTCTGAGTCGGCCCGGGTGATGAGAAGTTTTATGGTTGGCAGTAAGTGATACAAGGCCGTTAGCTAGATCATGTAAATGCCATTCTGCATATTAAATGGAAAAGAAATCACAAAGATTCAACTTCTTCCTTTCTACACAAGGAGCGGCAATATCATGGGGGTATGCAGCTCTACACCGGTGAGCAATCTTGTGGCATCTATTGGCACTAAAATGACGAGTCTACAAAATCTATGCTTGTACATGGAGTACAAAGTAACTGTAGGTTTGGGGGAAAAAAGTCAATAACACAGCTTATGTGTACTGTTGTGTTGGAGAACAGATTGGCTCTGCTGCAGCAGTAACAAAATGGAACGCCCTGTTAAGGCTTGCAAAGTGGGGAGGGTATTTTTTGCTATGTGTGTGACTTACCCCAGCTACCTTTTCCTAGAGTAAGAGTACGGACTGTCAGCTTCTTGCTGACAAACTCTGATCTGTTTCTGCAGGTGACTTCCAGATTGTGTCTCTCTCCTGGCATTCTAGTGGAGACTCTATGGCGCTTCTGAGCAAGGACAACTTTTGTTTGTGTTACTTAGAAAGAGAAGAGGTGAAATAACAATCATTTGCATTAAAAATGCTTGCAAGGTTGAGGAGGAATGAAGAAAGGGGTCAAACCCTGTTGCCCAATCTGAAGTTTCTGTATTTATAAAATATTTATTTGAAGGAGTGTACCCAAACTCCAGTGTGTAAAGTACTGTGATTGCATTTGAATGAAGTGAGGTAGCAACTGAAATGTAGAGAACGAGGTCTGGATTTCAAGAAAACTTTAGTATTGATGTAGTTGAACTTTCTCTTCAACTTTGAACTATGAAATCTTACTCTCTAAAATTGTAGCTGTGTGTATATAATGTATAGCTATTATTTAAATTTTGTAATTTCCAATAAATATTTTGATAGTTACAAACTTGGTATGACTCTAACTATAAACCTGCATGTCTCCATTCTGAAGTCTGTTTCTATATTATCAGTGATGCCATTATGTAGCTATTTATCCCAGCACAAGGAAACAGTTACCTGCCTGCAACAGTGTATGGTTTATATCTACTCTTGTAAGGCAACAGATGTATTAGAATTAAATATTGTAGCTGAAGCAGATACATCAGTAAGATGCTTTCTAGCAAATCACTTACTGTTAAAGCAAACCAAGTTCTTTGTTCAGAAAGCAAATTAAGTCATCTGTAATAGTTTTTGCTTTTTCACCTGTTAACATCTTAGTCTGACAGTAATTGTGCCTGGTCTACTGTAGATTTGTACTGAATCTTTACAAGAAGGATCATAACTGATACTTTAGAATCATATATGACAGGCAACTGAAATGGGAGCTTTTGGCACTAGATAGTTGGGTCAAACTGGAGCAGACAGTTCAGCGGGGAAAGAGCAATTGGACTATCCTTTATCTTTAATTGGAGTAGCCAACCACTGTATTCTTCAAAGGAAGGGAGCCTGTTGTTTAGGAATTTATTGGACGTTTTTTCTTGTGCTACTTAATTTCACAGCCTCAGTCTCCACAAAATGAAGAACAAAGAACACAGTGAATTGAAATTTCAACTTTACTGCTACATTAATGAAAATGAAATAGATAGCTTAGGAAATGCATTGAGAGGGGCATGCAACTTGTTGCATTTCATCATGACTTCAGCCTTACATAAGTTTCATCAACACACATCTACTTTAAGTTCACTGCAGCACAGCATGTCTTCAGCATTGTAGTTGCACAGATAAATGCTCTGATAAAATAGCACGCATAGAAGGTCATACACAATGAAAAAGCTTGTTAGAGTAACCTTGTGGACAGTTTCAGTTGTGGCATCTCTTATGCTGCTTCTGAATTTCATTTGTATGTGTAAATCAAGATTGACGTACAGTGCTTAAAGTTTTATCTGTCTCCATTAAGAAGTCCTGTACTGCTACTGTCCTAAAGTAGAGTAGATTTAAAAAAAATGCGAAGAATATAAATCTAATCAAAATATAATTCCTTTTCAGTTTTATAAATAATAGCTTTGAAGGCAGATGTGTTTGTGAGGCTTTTGGCAATATTCTCTCAGAAGAGTCTTTATGCTATGGCTGCAGCAAGAAAACATACATAAGAAACTAGGAAGTTAGACTCAGTTCTCAGAGGGAGGTATTTTTTACAAAAAGCTAATAAACACATATTCAGCCATATACTTCAGTTGACAAAGTAATAGTTCACGTACACTGCTTCTGAGCAGATGTAGCAGTACAGCTTTAACAAAATTTGCTGACTCTGTTTTGCAAAAGAATGACTGACAGAGCTTTCAAAATTCTTAACAGGCATTAATCAAAATGCTAAGATTAGTGTAATTGTGACCACTAATGCCTCTTTAAACAATACAAATCAATCCCAAGCACACTACATGATTTGACACCATATGTAGGGACACAACTGTAATACAGCATGAACATTCAACTGCACCTTGGCTATTTGTGTGGAGTGTTTGTGGCAGATATCAATCGCACTTAATTAACAGGGAAGAACATGTAATTAGGAATGGAAAATACAAGAATAACACTACCTTGCCTCTGCTTCAGATGAATCTGACCTGACCATAACAACCAGGGCCTCCCGTGAAAACAGTCAGATCCACAACCACCGCCTTTCGTTCCCCTAAACTTCTTCACTTTGATTATTGGATATTCTGCCACACGGTGTGCTCTCCCCAGGAGACCGCTATCAAATCGCTTTCCCTTGAAAAGATTAAATGCAATGAATTTTAAAAGGCAACGAATTTTAAAATCCAATTTTGCCTCTTGTCATGGAGTAGCCAAGTTTGGCCTCGTTGTTGATGAAGGACATCAATCCCAGGTAAGTCTCGATCAGAAGAGGACGCTCCAGCACTAGCACGCCATTAGCCCTTCCTGGCAAGGGGCACTCCTTATGGGCTTTCTTCACAGCTTGAATTAGCTGAGCTTTAAAGTGTTCCAACTGAAAGAAGAAAAAACAGCTTGATGTTTTTCCATTGTTTTAAAAATTGTTAGGCAAACAGCTGCTGATGTTGAATTGTAAAGGACTAACACTAAAGCCATAGCTGTCGTGGATCTCATGTGCCACGATAAACTTTATGTTCTGACATTTAACCTTAATGATAGAGGTAACACCATACCAGGATGCTATGTACACGTAACTTAACATGGGCTGGATGCATAAAGATTCATCAGTGAGTTTGTTTATGTCTGATTGTAGTTCTGCTGCCTTTATCACTGATGTGTTGAACTTAAATTACCATAGTGTTCTATTTTTAAGGAAACCTTCAGAGGAAAACGACTTGCAAGAAAAACTGAGAACCACCTAAGTGAAGGCTTACAGTTACCAATTAAACTATTGAATTAGCTGGCAGTCCTAGAGGAAAAGTGAGGTATCGGCCTGTCAGGTAAGCAAGAGCAGGAGTAGCACCAAGATCCATTTTCTTTTGGGTTTTACAGGACACTGCACCTTTGAAAGTTTCAGCTTCCTTCTTGTATAAACCATTTGTGGGTAGCTGGCAAAAACTGACAGTTGGGCTGCCCTGCAAGTCAAAATTTGGAGAATGGGGAAATGTAGCTTACAGCTCTAAGTTCTGTTTCTTTGATTTAACTACTCCTATTTGATTTAACTGCTATATCTTTTCAAAGCAATCCAAGTCGTATCCAGCCTATGAGATCAACAAGCCAACTAGAATAGGAGAGGTGACGTCCTTACTAGGCAAAGGGATGCAATCTTCTCATCAGCATCTGCCATTGGATGTTCGGTGAAGGTGACATATGGGATGTTTGTGGACCACGGGTTCCATCTGTTTATGAAGGAGGCGCGACTTTGCTTGTCCCACTGAATTCGAATACCGATACCTTCTCGCCTGATTGAAGACGGCAGAATTTATATGGTAAGACTTTAGAGTCTCTGAGGCAAGTTTAATTAGAAAAGTACTGTCTGAAAGAGACCTGCTTAAAACTGGAAGCTGAAATACAGGTTTGACAGTAAGTTTTTCCTCTAGAACAGCAATAGAAGAATTCAGCCCCTAAAATATGCCAAGGTACATTCTTATAAGCTGAGTGCCAAAAGGTTAACCTCAGTAGACACCTAGGCTACAACGCGTGAACTGTATTGCCCGTGGTAGCCTGCATTTATGTACAACCTGACACACGCGGCTTTCTAGTAATGCTGACATGGCACTACTTTGGCTGCTACTTACTGCATTACATAATGGTGATGACCTTCTGCTCCCAAATCTATTCATCTCATCTTGAACGTCCTTCAGCAACTCGCTTTTAATGTAACTACTAACTGTCCCAGCAGAACAGCGGCTGCTCTGAGGTGGTCTCACGAAGCTTTGGTAATTGTTTACAAAGTGACGTGAGCAAAAGGAAGCATTCTCAAACCTGTCCGATGGTCAGTGACAAAGGCTGACAGCTCAAACTATTTACAGTAACGATACAAGAACTACAGTGACGTTACGGTATTACTATGTCAACTTACCTGTTCAGAGATTTGGGTGGGAACTCAAACTCTCCTACGGAGATGGTATCAACTGCACTGAGGCCTATCCTCGTCACGTGCTGGCACTGCAGGCTGATGAAGTTGTATTTGCAGATCAGGAGGGACCAATCCGTGATAAGAACGAGACGCTCCTTCTCGTTGTTCCAGTGATCAATTCTGGTAAGACAACACCGCTCAACTTTAGCAGTTTTAATTGCTGGCTAGAAACACTTAATGGCTTGATGGCTAGAACAGTTGCTAAGGACAACAAATTAGTAATGCTGTATTTTCCATTATGGCCTTTGCTTTGAATCAGCAAGGCTGATAAAGAGGTTGGATGTCACAGCATAGTCATGTTACAACATAGGAAAATACTAAGAAAATCAGAGGAAGCCTGAAGATCGTGAGAGCGCGCTCTAGTGCTATCTCTTGTTATGTGAGACCGCATGCTACTGAATGGGGCAGGCGAGTCTCCAACAACTCTTCCAGTAAGCATTTAGTACTGTGCTGTTAGCGTGTTGACACATTTGCTATATTATTAACTGCATTGGTACATGTTTGGGGAGAGAAATAGTTTTCTTTAACCGTGTGGTCTGACTTAGTCTTTTCCTCTGTAAGAACAGTCTGGACATTCAAAACTTGTCAGTTTCTTCAAATTTCATGAATAAGAAATCTGAGCTTTCCCCGAGCGTTTTGCCACACTACATTGTTGTATGACCATCGCAGCTATACTGTTTCATCCTTAGGGCAACCTAAGAGTAGGTTGTGTTTTCACTCTAAGGTTAATAAGCTCAGCTTTGAAACTAGCACTTTTGGAATCTGCTACAGCTTGCTTTTAGTGTTACTGATTTAATTGTCTCTCTTTACAAGAATTAAAAATTGTCTATTGTTTCAAAAGGGACACGGCCGTAAAGCTGGCGAGACCAAAGCTATCCTCGTTGTGTAAAGGTAAATGCAAACAGGGGGACCAGGCAATGGGCTGGGGCGTTTCCACCTGCCGTGACCCTTTTTTCTCTGCCTCTCCCTGCAGCTCAGGCTTGTGCCGTGGTGAAAGGACCGAAACCGCCCCTGCCTCTCCTGCTCGCCCCAAAGAGCGCTCGGGGCTCGCAAAACCTGGCCAAGTGCTGTTCCGAAGAAGCGGGCATACCCGGCTCGCGCTTTGCTCCTCAGCCCTAGTCCAGGTACGCCAACTCTCGGCCTCCGTTTATGTTCCCTGGCGAATTCGAGGGCTAACGGCCCGTAACGCGGTGCGCGGGGACGGCTTCCGATGCAGTAGCCAACTGGAGCCCCGTTAGCGGCCTTAGCGCACGAGTGAATTCCGTGTTTGTACTGGCCCTTGTCGCCAGTACCGCCGCGTCGGGGCCTCGACGGCCGGTTGGCAAGCGCCGGGACGGCACCGAACGCCGACGGGACGGACTGGGGGCCAGCCTAGAGCTTCTGCCACCCACCCCGGAGCGTCGGCCCGGCGGTACTTACTCGGTGAGCAGCCAGACGCTCTGCACCTCCCCGTCCTCGGCGGGCAGCACGACGGCGCGCAGCTCGTTCACCGCCTGCTCTATCGTGCCGGGCTAAACCG